TTTTCTCTGCAGCCCCGAGTCTGGCTCGGGGTTACCGCTCCTAGCATGGAAAATTCACCCCGAGCCAGACTCGGGAATACCGCCAGGGAGGTTAATCGGGAAGCCGGGTGGCGAGTCTTTACACGCTTCCCGGCTAATCAGGAAGCCAGGTGGCGAGTCATTACATGCCACCTGGCTTCCGTTACTCTGAAGTTACTCCCGAATGGGACTTCCGTTACTCTGTAATTGGTATCGGCAAGTACCGAAAAAAAATTATCGGTACTCGTGCTCGGTACCAAAATACTGGTATCAGTGCATCCCTATTCACAACCACTGGTCTAGAGAATAGCCAGCCAAACATACTGTATACTGGAAATGATGCATCTGATTACTGCTCACTAAAATAACCATTGTCGAAAACACCCACTGGTCAGTGATTCTGTTTGCACCATTTTGGGTTCATTATCCTTGACACCTTTGGACTGGTGCCGTGTTATTTGTTACTATTCATTCTTAGTTTGATTCCTCTACATCCATTATTTAAGAGGCTACAGTGCATCAGTGGTTCCTCAGCCCAGCATTGCCAAACCCCAGTATATATATAATAGCACGCAAAAAGAAGATAGTGGGTTTTTTGAAGGCACTAGACAACACAATTGTAAAATGTAATATTTTATTATTCCAAAGTTAAAAAACATTAAAAAATGCTGTAGAAACATCTGCTACGAATTGTACATGATTAAGGTGTTTGTATATTCCTTATATAGCATGGCCAGTAACCTCTTGTGCCCCACACAGGGGAAGAAGAAACTAAAAAAATCACAAATCAATATAGATTGTCAAAAAAAGTATCAACACTAAAAAGATTGTGATTCCTCCAGTGAGGGTGACTCAGATCTTGTATGCGTTTATTACATTTTACAATTGTGTGGTCTAGTGCCTTCAAAAAACCCACTATCTTCTTTTTGTGTGCTATCCATTATTTATGATTACATTGGTGTATAAATATTGTGTATTATGTAACTTTGCTCTATGCTCACAAGAAGTGCATTGCTGTTGTGTTGTACTGTCCTTCCGGATGTAAATAAAAAATGTCAAATAGCCATTGCAGAGTTCATATCTGATTGTATACCAAACTGTATAAGCATGGGCAGATCAGTCACAGCCAGCTGCCTTCAGAGAGAGATCAACCCATAAATTGTAACCCATGGCCATGATTTTTAACTTTCAATAGTGAATGTAAAATTTTAATTCACATCTCTCCCAGAAAGTGGCAAAACTACTTTCAAGAAGGCAATTAAATCCAAGTATATATGTTATGAAAAGTTACAGAACTACTTACCTGGCAAGACTTAAGTAATATATTGCATTTTGCCTTGGTGTCCGACCGAGATGCTTTGAGAAAGACTCTAGGGAAGAATTCAGAAGAAGGGTAGCTTGTGGCATTGTTAAATTGTGTGGGAGGTTACTGTTAATGCTGGTGATGGGTGGAAGAGGAATTTGGGCATTCCATAGGTTATTATGAATAATATCCATAGAGTAGGACTCGGCTTCAAGTCTATCAAGATTATCTGATGTTTTCATAACAGGAGGAAACCTGGATGGTGTTGGTATCTTCTCCTTCTCGGTCTTAGGCTGGAGTTTTAAGACAGCATTAGCAAAGTCTTGACTGCTTTGACTCTGAGAATTTGTATAACTCCTGATAATCTTTTTCCATTTGTGCTGATGAAGATTATGCAGATCTTTACTAGTCATCTTGGGTTCTGTGAAACCATCCACAACAAAGGGGTCTCCAACACGTGTTTTAAATTGTGGAGCCCACCTCTTCAGTTTACATATTTTTTTCTGAGCCACGAAAAGCCACTTTTTGACTTTGATGTAAATATTCATAGGGAGAGATATTTTTGGGAAAGAGACAACTGACCACATCTTCATGATTAAATATAATACACAGTCTTTGTGGCCCTTGTGGATACTTATCCTGAGAGGTGTCTGACCAAATGGAGTTTGACATTCCAAACACAAAACATTACGTGCAACAAAAGCTTTAATCAAAAGCATCTGGCCTGCTTCAGCAGCTGCATGAATGGCACCTTTGCCTATATCTGGGTGATAAGTCTCACAGCACCATTCTTTGTATGGATGGACACCAATGGCTTCATCTGCTCTTACACCCTTCTTCTGAAGCCATTCTGCCATTTTCAGATGGCCAAAATGTGCAGCTATGTAAAGGGCTACTCTCTGCTGATATCTGTGTGTTGAAAACAAAGGTCAATATAAAGTAAACTAACTGTAAATCTTACATAGCCAACTGAAAATTGCTATTTACATGTTGGTACATGACAGACCTAATGATTTCCAATATCTCTTGGGTGTCCAGGAGGTAAGTTCTCTGTGACGCCTCCACCACCATGATGGAATCCTACACACACTACTGGGTTTCCAGAGGGATTTTTTAGTATAATTGAAAATAAAATGGAGGACTGGGAACACCTCGCATGTGCAAGGAATGCCAAAATTGCAAAGGTGGTTGGAAACAGAACTAAATAAAATAATGGAGAGATATATTACAAATAATTACTAGGCCCATTTAAATTTAGTTGTTACACTGGCTGAGGGGCAATAAGGGAATACAATGGCAGTATGTAGCTCTAAAAATGATTTTAAATGCCTAGTTTTCATAGTAATGAAGAATAGACATATACGGCCGTTGTTTAAAGAAATCTGTAGCTTATTTAAATTTAACAGCTAGGCCCTTGTACCCCCTACCTGCGAGGGTTAAGTGCTCGTTTGTGTCTAGGTTAAAAAATAACTAAATTATCCTCACCTGAGCCTCAGATCCAGCTGGCCTGTCTTCTCCTCCGCTGCAGTGATGGTATGTCCTCGCAGTGTATAGAACTTGATAACTCACGGAATTTAGACCTCTGCAGCAGAGAAGGAGCGAGATAGAGAATACCGGTCTAAAAGCCGGCTCTTTTTTTTTTTAAACATAGACAAAAACGAGCACTTAACCCTTGAAGTGGAAGGGTAACCCCACTGCAAGGGTTAAGAATATTTTCCCTGGCATTCTACTGTAACTAAAGAAGCCACTTGACATATCAAAGACTGATGTGTTAAGTGCAAATACCTGGAACAAGCTGTTCTAATGTGTGATGAAAGGTGATAAAGCGCTTTCACTGGGCTATCCTATAGTGTTCAAAAAAGGGTTAATACTTGCACCTTAAACATATATGTATTTACAGTACATATCAATATCAGTAGTTTGTATTCTTTATGGTGGCCTCAACACCTTCTATTTACTAAGTAAAATACCAGTGAAAAGATATGGCAAAGCACAATCTCTATTACATGCATCCATGTGATCTGAGACATACGGGTTGATTTATTAAGGCAAATAGGCTGCTCACTTTGCAAGGGAATTTGCACTTTGCATGGGAACTTTCCCACAGCTTAGTGAATGAGGTGAAAATCTGCTAACTTCCATCATCCAATCATGTGCAAGCACAATTACGTTTCTTTTTGCACGTGATTAGGTATTCTTTGCAAAGTGAAATGTCCCCACATTCACTGAGCTAAGGGAAAACCTCCCCTGAAAAGTGCAAATTGCCTTTCAAAGTAAAGATTCTATTTGCCATAAGTAAATCAACCCCACAGTGTACAGTATACAGCCTGCAAATCTGCACAAACTGGCCACAGAGAATATTAGTGCATGCAAGCCATAAGGTGGCCATACACTTTACAACCATCGCAAGACCTTAGTCTTGCGATGGTTGTAAAGTAATTTTTTTTAAACGTACGATCTGCCCATCTTGGACAGGCAGATCGTACTTGCGATCATCGCAAGCCCGCCCCCCTTAACCCTTGCATCGATCTTACTATCATGCTAAAAACCAGCCGAAAATCGTACGATTCTCGGCTGGTTTTCTAGCATGCTCCTTAGACAAAAGACGTGCGACCGTACAGTAAAAACGGTTGCACGCCTTCCATACACTTTGCGATTATCGTACGATCGCGGGATTTCACGCGATTATCATGCGATAATCACACAGTGTATGGGCACCTATAGTAATCTGAATTCCCAGAAAAAGAGGGATAGGGCAGCCATGGGTCAAATTCTACATGTTTGTGCTTACAGTATGAGGCCTAAGCTACTTGTGACAACTAGTACTTTTTAATTCTAAATGTACTGGAGAAAATGTAGTATTCCAACTTTGTTGAGAGCAACATCACAATTTTCATCAGCTCTAGCTTGCATAACTAAGACACACAACAAATAACATTGAAGCTGTTATCAATGAACCGCAGGGCTAGATTTACCATCAGACATAGTTTGCTTGTGCATAGAGGCAGATTTTCCAGTACATTTATCAGCCGTGGTTTTCCTGCCATCATCAGTAGAAATACAGTTATCTTTTATAAGATTATACACATATTGTGACAATATTCAAAGCCAGGTTACGACCAGTAAAATAAGAAAATGTTCTTTGCACTCTTGATGAATCTGGCAGATTAGTGTGTTGTATTGGGTGCCAAAGCATGCCCACAGGCTCCAGCAATGGAAATCCAGTTCTGATGAACCCCCAAAGTGAATGGTTCAATTACCTTAGTATGGCTTCATTCTTTGATAAGTGCCACTGAACATTTTGACTGTGGCCTAGGACACAGTCTGACAAAAGTTCTTTCCAGCCATCCCATACATCCAGTCTCAGTGTTGCACCTGAAATCAATGAATCAATATAAAACAGGCCAATCTCTATTGCTGCAATTATACATAGAATATGCATAATGATATTGATATTTTATATCAATATATAAATATCATATAATATCATATAATATAATATATTAATATAATATAAAGATTATTATAATACTAATGCCTGTGGAAAATAGACATCTGCAAATGTACAGCTTCAAAATTATTTAATGCCAATTGGAGTAGCTTGGAATCCATTCATTTTGATATTACAGCTAATTAAAATTGGGTTCTGTGTTGCACAATGTTGTTTAGGAAGTGTTGTCCACACGTGCCTAGGAGGATATCCCAAACTGGATGACGAGTGCACACAAATGATTATTGAAGGGTTAATTTTTCTTGTTCTGAACCATGTTTGCAGAAAAAATATCTACAGCCTACAGATCATGTCTAGGGCTTCATGTCCATTAATTTACCCTGTTCCCCTTCCCAGCTGGACATATCTGTATACTGGATGTATTTCTGCAACCAGCACTTGTGCATACAGGGGTGTGGAAATTTTTGTTTTAAAACTACTTGTCCAAGGGCTAAAGCGGGGGCCGAATCTACTTGTCCTTCATGACAATCTACTTGTCCCAATACAAAAAAAATTGTTTTAATCAAAACTAGGGATGTACCGATATAGGTTTTTGCGTATCAAGTACGAGCACTGATACTTTGCTTTCGGTACTCACCGATACCGAGTATCAGTGCTTCTGTTTGCCTGGGAAGCCTGCTCCATGCCATCAGGAAGCTGGCAGCAGGTAATTACATGCTACCCAGCTTCCTGTTTGCCAGGGAAGCCGACTCCATGTTGTTTGGCCGGATTGATTGGCCAGGAAACCGGCTTCCCAGCCAATCAGCATCGAGCCAGCCAACCAGAAAGCAGGGCGGTGAGTAATGGCCTGATTGGCCGGGAAGCCGGCTTCCCAGCCAATCAGGAAACCGGAGGCGGGTCATTAGTCGCTGCCCCGCTTCCTGATTGCACGGGAAGCGGGCTCCATGTTCCCCTACGACACTGCCGGTCAGAGGAAATCTTCCGCTGACCAGAAGTTCCAGTATTGGGGAAGGTATCGGAGCATTTTGGCTAGTACAAGTACTTGTACAAATATTCTGTATTGGTGCATCCCTAATCAAAACTGTATTTGACTGTGCTAAATAGAAGGATCCGCGTCGGCTGTGGCGGTCTCACTATATAGTGAGCTGTAGCTCGCGGTATACTGAGCTTTGGGTCACGGGAGGATGCTAGTTTATGTGCTCCTGTGACCCTGGGGAAAAACGCTGACTGATCCTTTAATGCACATTGTGCGTGTAGAAGAGTTCTGCTGCTTGGCTGCCACAATATGGCACACAATGGAATGGCGGCAGCACTCAATGCACACACACAATGTCCTGTGCATGCATTTATTTAGATGCAGATGACTGTGGCAGCGGGGTTGGTTTTAACTTTTTTTTAATATTATTTTTATTTTTTTTATAACTTTATTTTTTTTAATTTATTATTTTTTCTCCCACTTAATTTTATTCCTATCACATAGGGCTTAAAAACTGTGTTAGTTAGGAGGTGACAGGTTCTCTCTATGGAACCTGCCCTCCAACACAGAACTGATGTTCTGTGCAGTTCCTGATGGGTGAGACAGGTGGCACTGTGATCACAGCGCCACGGTCTCAGTGATCACACAGTGCAGACGAAGAACGTCCTTTCTTCGTCTGCTCTTCGGGCTCTATGGTGAACTTGTGTGCTGTGGTCGCGGCGGTGACCGGACACAATAGCCGCCGATCCTTTCATACAAGTGATCTAATGAGATCACTTGTATAAAAACGAGCGGCGGCCCCACACTGTACATTTAGCTCTGCTTGTCTGGAGCAGGGCTAAATGTAAAAATAACTACTCGCACGGCGCCCAAAACTGCATGTCCCGGTCGTCGGGCGATAGGAATTCCACACCCCTGGCATATGAGTGCTACCTGTCTCTGATATGTAGGTGTTTTATCTGCACGTATGAAAAATACGTATTTTTCTGTAAAAGACACATACAAGTACTACCCCATTTCCCAAAAAATTTGTGACCCTGTTTAAAATCTATATAAAAACAGAATGCAATGATTTGCAAATCTCATAGACCCATATTTTATTCATAATAGAAAACATATCAAATGTGTATACTGAGAAAATGGACCATTCTAAGAAACAAATCGGGTAATTGTCAAAATGATGGCAGCAATATGTGTCAAAAAAGTTGTGACAGAGCAACAAAAAAGTAAGTGGTACTAACAGGGAAGAGCTGGAAGAACATTTGCGGCTTTCCGACTAAATCTAAAAGATAAAACTGTATTGAGTTAATAAATAACAAATATTTATACATTCTAAATTGCGCCTTTCTGCGAAATGGTCAAAAATGAAGTAACGCAAAACTGTATATAAGCGACTTATATTCAAAATCGTTTGTGCGCTGTGTTGGTGTGTGATCAAATGATTCATGCGTACGTTTAATCACAACAAAGCGTATCACAACGCACAGCAATGTGTCACAACGCTTTGCCATGCGCTGCCGCACAGTTAAAATAATGTTATTTTGAAAATAAAAAAATCAATCGCTCGCTGACTGGACCCAGGAAGACTGAGTCCACACAAGTCTTGAACGCAGCTTAAGCATGCATCACTGTAATTTGTAATTGCTTTATATTCATATTATTTCATCAGTGCAAATACCACTGTTTGTAAAAATCTTACGTGCGGATCTTTTTCTGAAGCCCCTGTTCTGAATGAATGGAAAGCACTCAGTATAGTTGAAAATATTTGGCTCATCTTGAAATGAAACATACGACAAAGAAGACCCAGGACTGTTGAGCAATTAGAATTCTATATCAGGGAAGAATGGGAGAACATTCCTCTCCCAAAACTCCAGCAACAGGTCTCCTTAGTTCCCAGATGTTTATAGAGTGTTGTTAAAAGAAGAGGGGATGCTACACTGTGGTAAATATGGCCCTGTCCCAAATTTTTTGAGACGTGTTGCTGCCATCAGTTTCAAAATTACAATTTTTTTTAATGGTCCATTTTCTCAGTTTAAACATTTTATATTTTTTCTATTGTCTATGCTGAATAAAATCTGGGTTTATGAGATTTGCAAATCATTGCATTCTGTTTTTATGTAGATAATATACATGTGGTTGTACATGCCTTTATTATTTGTATGGCAAATACATTTTTAAGGCACAAAGTCAAAGTAGAGGTGGAGTGCCTATAATTGTAATAAATAACCACTAGAGGGCTAAAGGCCTTTTCTACAGTCAAGAGAAAAAGGTTGTGAATATTTCTGATTTTCCCAGGGTATATGTTTGCAATATCAAACATGAACACTGTGTTAAAGTGTAACTCAAGGCAAAACATTTTTTTTTTTTCATTTTTGATAAAGTGGAGAGGGTTTAGAACCACTGTCTGGTTTTTATTGTTGTAAGTAATTCACTCTTTCTAACAGTCCTGATCACCAATGTCACCAGGAATGAAAGTGAAGTTAAATACAAAATTTGGTGCTGCCATCAGAACAGGAATAGAGGGGAAACCTTCCAATTAGGACACGTGATCCAGTGACAACTGTCTAAGAAGGGATATATTTTACATTGGAAAGATATCCTTTCACTTGATGCTGAAGCTACAGGACAGTAAATGAACAGAAATCGCCCTAATGGGACACAGATGGTAAACAAACTGCAGTTTTAACCCTCCTCTACTTTATCCAAAAGGAAGAAAGTGTGGGCTTTATGTATTTAAGATATACTTTAAATATGTCATCCAGCAATGTAAATCCATGTCAATCATGACAACGCTCTCCTGTAGCTACTCCAATCCCAACTGATATATCCCAAGCTGGCTTCTGTAAGTAAATGAAGGAGTCGAGGACGTTAGGTGACATCATTGACCATATTTGGTCAATGATGTCACCCAGTTTACACACTGAAGCTGGCTCGTATCTGTAATTTAGCTGCGGCAGTGCCAAGGCTACATAATGAGAGATTGTTTGGTTAATTTACAAACAGAAGCCGGTAGGAATCTGTCATTTATCGGTAGTGCTTCTCGGCCACTGCTTTTTTTTTAAAGACACTTTAACTGGAGTACTTTGTACTGCCTTCCTAACTTCACATGCAGGTTTAAGTCATCCGTAAAGCATGTTATTTAAAGAATATTTAGGCAGCATTAAAAGACCGTCTCCCTACTGAGTGGTATTTGTAAACATCTGTATTGGTGCATGTCCCCCATGGCAGTGCCCAGCTACCCATGCCCTTTTTTACAAAAGCTTGCAAATTGGCTTTGAAATGCCAGGAAAAAATGACACTATTCACCTTCCAGAGACTTCAGTGGTATTTGGCACTATGTTCAGTTTTGGCGGACCTTTTACTGGGTATACGAAACTTCCTGCAAACCGAACTTTGCCCTGTTCACTTATCCCTAGTTAGCTTACCTAGTTCCAGCTTGTAATCGCTGAGGATGTTACAGTCATACATTTCTTTGCCATCTATTGTCCTCAAGCAGAAAACGCTGACTGGGAATCCACATTTCAGAGATACTAGGGATTTCAGCTTTGCAACTGTTTCAGTGAGAAGATGAACATTTCCCATTATCGGGACCTTTTCTTGTGTCACTGCATTATATATATACAATGCTGGCTTTTCTTCATCCTGGAATCATGACAATATATATTAACTTTTAAAAGTCTAAATTAAATAAATGGCTTCAATAATGCTGTGATTGGCAAGTAACATAAATGCCAACATAATACTTTAATGGGCTAGTGTTTTATATTAAATTTGATAGATTTTGGTTGGTATGGATACATGCACAAATTCTAGCTTATATGTACACTTCTTGTCCAACAACCTGGATTTAGCTGAGCAAATAGGTCAGAGCATTTTATTGGATAATAGGCAGTGCTGGATTTACTCTCTCTGCTGCCCCAAGGCCAGATTCCTCAATGCGCCCCCCTGTATGCAGGCTGCATACACGTGATCTCGGTAACATCACCGAGATCCCTTGTACAAAACAAGTGGCGTCTTACCCGCTGTACATATAGCTCTGCTTGCCCAAAGCAGGGCTAAATGTATAAAGCAACTCCCCGCCCGGTGCCCAAGCGTCGGGAGATAGGAATTCCACACCCCTGCTGCCCCTCTACTGCCTGCTGCCCCGAGGCCGGGCCTTGGTTCGCCTTGTGGGAAATCCGGCCCTGATAATAGGTCTAGGTTCACCAACATTATGTGCCCATAAAATGGGGTCCGCTGTCTACAGAATGACCAGATTTTTCCATTAATTGATTTTTTTCTTCCCTGATGGCACATTGGGTATATTCCAAGATGACAATGCCAGGATTCATAGGGCTTAAATTGTGAAAGAGTGTTTCAGGGAGCATGAGATATTATTTTCACAAATGTATTGCCCACCACAGACCCCTGACCTTAACCACATTGAGAATCTTTGGGAGAAGACTTTACACAGAGGTCCCACTCTCCCATCTTTATCACAAGATCTTGGAGAAAAATGAATGCAACACTGGACGGAAATGAATGTTGTGACATTGCATAAGCTTATGGAAATTATGCCATGGTGACTGTGAGCTGTAATCAAAGCTAAAGTTGGTCCAATCAAATATTAGAGTGTGGTTTTTGGACAGGCAGTGTATATAAGGGAATAGGATGAACCGGGCATAGTGTGACTATTTATACAACTAGAACAAAGGAAATGCTATTACTGTATAGCCAATAGCAGCCAATTATGTTTAACTTACTTTCATCTCCTAGCCTGCCTTTCATCAGCATATTTCAAAGCCATGGTTATGTCCCACTTGAAACCTTTCTCATTTAATATTCTTATCCCCAGAATGCGTTCTTATTGAAGATTTGACAGGCCAACTCGTTTATCTCCTTCAAGACTCAGCTGAGGGGTCTTATTCTCAAAAGACAGCAGCCAATGAAGGGATGCATTTTTATTAGAATTACATTTTATGTTTCCTAATGTGTCTGAGTTTTTACTAAAGTCCTATATCTGGATAACACTGTTTCGGGGCACTGAGGCCCTTTTTATCAAGGTGACAAACAGTGCAAATAAGCATGCAAAAGATCATGTATATATCAATAACCCACAGGTAAGGGAAGAGCTGACCACCTCCAATCAAATAACTGATGCCAGGGCCAGGGCAATAAAAAAACTGAAAATTAATGAAACATAATTCAACCATAAAAGTAAAAATCACTGCATTCAGGATAAGGAGTGGGAGCCCAGTGCCAGCATGAACTCTGGAGGGCAGACGTTTTGCATTGAAGTGCGTTTCAGCAGCTGAAACTGGGAGTGCATTCCACCACACTTGAAACCTTTCTCATTTAATATTCTTATCCCCAGAATGCGTTCTTATTGAAGATTTGACAGGCCAACTCGTTTATCTCCTTCAAGACCCAGCTAAGGGCTCATATTCTCAAAGACAGCAGCCAATGAAGGGATGCATTTTTATTAGAATTACATTTTATGTTTCCTAATGTGTCTGAGTTTTTACTAAAGTCCTATATCTGGATAACACTGTTTCGGGGGCACTGAGGCCCTTTTTATCAAGGTGCATTTCAGCAGCTGAAACTGGGAGTGCATTTCACCACTCTGGAAGTGGCAGGTTACAGGAGGATGCTGACTGATAAAAAGGGGCACAGAATTTGTGAAAAACAAAAATAATTGTAAAAAGTGGAAAAAAGGGAGGTAGAAACAGGAGACGATATAGAGCAACAGGGAAGTCGGTACCAATAGGCTGTTAATACTAAAGTAGATGAAGAACAACCTAATATAGTGCAAAATAGAGGAAAAAATATTACCACAAATAAAAATTAAGAAAATATTGCTATGGTATAAAAAAAATTAATTATACAAAATCATCAAGAAAGCATGTCTGACAAACTTATGTTTAGACCCCAGGACTTTAGAGTCTGCAATGCATGAATGCCAAGAAATTCTAACAATAGTCTATCTCTGTCACCACCACAGTTAGATATGGAAGTTTAATGGCCATTCTACACAATCCATACATTTCATGTTGTGTCTCTACAAAATGTGCAGCAACTGATTTTGCTCAATTGATTAAAACCAATCAAATTCGTGAATTGCATCCAGGTGATATAACTGAATAAAGCCCAAGAAAAAAATGCCTTTTCAATTAGTTATTCAACAAAAATATCCCTAGATGTAATGGTGCACTGTAGAAAAAGTAAGTACACCGTTGGCCTTAGAAGCTTGTATTGAAGCTTGTAGGCATTTTGTATAACTGCTCACCAGTTTCTGACTGATTTGGTGAATTTTTTTTTCTCAATGCAAACTTTTGTCAGTGCCCTTTTCAAATCCCTCCACAGGATTTCAATTGGATTGAAAACAGGACTTTAGCTTGATCATAACTATCCATTTCCTTCTTGTGAGCTATTTGTTGGTGGATTTTCAAGTGTGCTTTAGATCAGTATAGTGCTAAAAGATCCATTACCAGTTCAACTTATCAAGAACACTTTAATGTAATGCAGAATTCTTGGTTGATTCAATGAGTGCAAGCAGCCCAGACCCTAAAGCTGCAAAGTAACCCCAGATGATAGCATTTCCACCACCATGCTTTACAGTTGGTATGATGTTCTTCTCCTGAAATACTTGTCTTCGGTTTGCGTCAAAATGTCTACTGTTACTGTGGTCAATTCTATCTTTGATTCATACATCTGCAGCACATTGTTTTAAAAGATTTAAAGTGGTGGCACATTTACGGGTGCACTTCATTTTTCAAGCTACAAATATGCATTTTTGTTGTTTTAGATTATGAGAATGAATACTCCAGGTCAATTTTTTTATATTACCTTGATCTGTAGGCACTGTTTGAATAAAGATCTATTGTGTGTCCCCATAGATAGACTAGGGACACTCCGAGCTTCTTCTCATTAACATACAATGCCCCGTAGATCTGGAACCCTTTGTTAAAACAGCCCAAGTTCAAATCTAGTTTACAACTGATAATGAGATCTTCCAGCACAGTGCACACAGGGGTGATTATAGTAACCTCCACAGCCCCCCTTGTGTTTAAAGAAAACGAGTCAAATGAAAAAAGTAACCTGTGAGCAGCAATTGTATTTTTTTTGTAACGTTACACTATGGCTGCAAAAGTGGAAATGCTCTAGTACTGTGGTGTACACTTTGATGCTCTAGTACTGTGGTGTACACTTTGATGCTCTAGTACTGTCGTGTACACTTTGATGCTCTAGTACTGTCGTGTACAATTTGATGCTCTAGTACTGTCGTGTACACTTTGTTGCTCTAGTACTGTCGTGTACACTTTGCTGCTCTAATACTGTCATGTACACTTTGATGCTCTAGTACTGTCATGTACACTTTGATGCTCTAGTACTTTTGTGTACACTTTGATGCTCTACTACTGTCGTGTACACTTTGATGCTCTAGTGCTGTCGTGTACACTTTGATGCTCTAGTACTGTGGTGTACACTTTGATGCTCTAGTACTGTTGTGTACACTTTGATGCTCTAGTACTGTGGTGTACACTTTGATGCTCTAGTACTGTCGTGTACACTTTGATGCTCTAGTACTGTCGTGTACACTTTGATTCTCTAGTACTGTCGTGTACACTTTGATGCTCTAGTACTGCCGTGTACACTTTGATGCTCTAGTGCTGTCGTGTACACTTTGATGCTCTAGTACTGTCGTGTACACGTTGATGCTCTAGTACTGTCGTGTACACTTTGATGCTCTACTACTGTCGTGTACACTTTGATGCTCTAGTGCTGTCGTGTACACTTTGATGCTCTAGTACTGTTGTGTACACGTTGATGCTCTAGTACTGTCATGTACACTTTGATGCTCTACTACTGTCATGTACACTTTGATGCTCTAGTGCTGTCGTGTACACTTTGATGCTCTAGTACTGTCATGTTTTCTATTTTTCTTTTTCAATTGAAAAATACTCTACCAATAATTTTACATTAAATTGTTATACATTTCATGCACCATTTCAATGTTAAATGCACTCCTATGGATTACCTTCTAGAACAAAACTTTAAAACTTTTGACGGTAACAAAAATAAAGCTATATATACTTAATGCGCATGATGATATGTGGGGTACATAACACTTTGTGGCCTGACAAATGGGAGCAGGAAAACAAACTGGGATAAAAATAGACACCGTGTTTCTATGAGGAAAGGAGAACATAATCTGTACAAATGGCCATTTTCCAAACTCTTACCAGGCCAAAAATAAAGCAAACTACATTAGCGATCAATAAGGAAAAATACCTGTATATTTCATCACAGAGATCAATGATCCCTATTTTTAGCCAAGCCTGAGCTTCAGTTGCTCTATTGACAATAGACAGAGCACACACAACAAGACAGGAAGATGCGGGGATGCAGAAAATAATGTCCATTAAGCAATGCACACAGCAACTTGCTGTTAAGAATTCATGAGACTTCCTGTTTTTTTTCTTTGTTGTTTTTGATGCATCATCAGAATCAGGCACGCTTAGAAACATTTTATTAGCTGCCAACATGACCTAAAAACATTACTATCATTTGTGACCTGGTCAACTTGCATTCCTTCATTTCTATTTGAAGGCTTGTGTCAACATTTTTCTTTCTACAATAATAAACATTTATTTCTCTGGTAAAGCTGAGCGCTAGGCAGAGGCTACCAACCTGCTCTGAAATGATTAAAACATCATTTAATGTATTTAGTAAATTCAAGCAATGTAAATACCGGAATTTGATATAAGCTTTAAGCAGTTCCTGTAAAGTCTGTACAGCAGAGCACAGAGAGAGTGAGGACGAAGCAGCACAGGGAGCCAGCTAGGGATGCTGTAGTGCCAGGAGCCATGATGATAGGAGGAAAGAGCAGAGTGACAGAGATAAGCTCATCGTTGTGCTCCTTCTCCTTTCAGTCGTAGGCTGAGGGAATGGAGGAGACCTATAAGTGTTGCTCAGTTGCAGCAGAGACTAATTAGGTCTTCTGCCCTGCCAGAAAGGACTGTGCTTGGATGATGGAGCTGTGTAATTCCCAGGACTGGATGGACAGAAATGTATATCCTTTCACAGATAAACCAGTTCTCATATACTGTATGTATTAAATGTGTGTATTTAGTTTACCTGGAATTTAGCTTTAGCATATTACTGCAATGATTCCATCTCACATTCATATAGTCACGTGCATCAGTCCCTAAGGCACTTACAATCCATTGTCACCACCATACTCTTCAAAATTACACACTTACTGGGACCAATGTTGAGTTCCAGGCTATGTAGCATCGTCTATGAACATAGATGGATTAACAAGACATTGCTTCAAAAGCCTCTCTCTCTTCATTTCTACAGTTAGTAGATTTTAGTATTCAGTTAGTAAAGTCCTCAAATGAGATCAAAACTTCAAAGATCCACAAAAACAGGAATGTGACCATATTTCACAAAGGCCTAACATGCTTGTTGTTAAAGAAAACCTGCATGGAGACGAATATGGAGGCTGCTATTGCTGAAATTGTTAGTTGCATGACTGTCTCTGGCTTGCATCCTTTGAGACGCTGACCTGGAATAAGCATGCATTTCATAAAAGTCAGAGAGAAGTCAAACTTCAAAGAAAAAATACACTGCCTGCCCCCCCCCCCAAAAAAAACCCACTTGAATACTTTGTTGGATCGTCTGTAGCTTTGATTATGGCTCACATTCGCCGTGGCATAATTTCCAGAAGCTTATGCATTGTCACAAAATTTATTTCTGTCCAGAGATGCGTTCATTTTTCACCAAGATCATGTAGTGATGATAGAAGAGTCAGACCTCTGTGTAAAGTCTACTCCAGCACATACCAAAGATTCTCAATGGGGTTAAGGTCTGGACTCTGTGCTGGGCAATCCATGTGTGATAATGATGTCTCATGCTCCCTGAACCATTCTTGTACAATTTGAGGGGAGTGAATCCTGACATTGTCATCTTGGAATATGCCCAATGTAGCATCAGGGAAGAAAAATCAATTGATGGAAAAACCTGGTCATTCATTATATTCAGGCACTGTAGGCAGCTGACCTTATTTTTTGGGCACATAACTTTGCTGAACCTAGACCTATTATCCAATGGAAGGCTCTGACCTGTTTGCTTAGCCAAATGCAGGTGGTGACTTTTTTTTGGACAGGCAGTGTATTAAAGCCATTGGATCATTGCAACAGCAAGTGACTAGTATATTCAAAAGTAAAGGCCAGCAGAGGTAGTTTCCAAACCTTCTCCTAAGGTCTCTCCCTTCCTGACCTCTCTTCATCCATCCTATGTCCCTTTTTTGTGTCTGCTGTTTATGAAAATGCTGCTTTAATGTAGAACTAATCCTCGATGGTATAGTTTTTATTTATTACGATTAAATGAGTCAGAAAACATCACTAAGAAATAATATATGCCCACACATCTTAGTAACAGTTGATCTTTACCTTAACAGCACACTTAATAGTAGAACAAAGAGTGACACCAGCGTCTGCGAGAACCCACTCATCTCTCAGCACTCCTCCTGCGTATGTCAGCTCCAGATATCGTCTCCCTTGTTTGTCATCTGACAGCTGGATGTGAAAAAAGTTCTACAAAAAAAAGCATTCTGTTGTTGTGAATCAGTTCTGAACAGGAATGTGTATACATGCCACATACAGTAGAGTTCAGTATCGAACAGATCAAACGAGGAAATCAGCACCCACTTCATCCTGATAACCTTAAAGTGTTTATTCCATAAGAGTGTAACAATGTACAGCTAAATGCCCTTAGACCTTTAATGTGCTTCACACATTCACTGCTTAGTAACAGAATATGTTTCGTGGGTCACATAGGCTTTAGATCAGTGGTGGTCAACTTTCTTGATATTGGGGTGAAGCAGGACCCCTAACACCACCAAAGGTTCACACATATTATTCACTGAATTTAATGCTACAGAAAGCTGTCAGAGACTGAAATTGTACAACAATAGATGGTCCCAGACTGCAGACTTGCTATAGGTGTAGTTGGAGACTGGAGAAATGCTTGAGGAGACAACCATAGCCTGGAGACATATTACATGGGACTGCCCCACTGCTGTTACTGTCCCAATACAAGTCAACACGTCCACATTTGTGCTCACTACAACCCTATTAAAAATGTCTTGTGCCATGTTTAATATTTCTCTTATTACAGGTCTCTTATTATATTATATACAGGAAAATCATGAAGAGAAATGTAATGGACAGCACAGAAAGATGTAAGATATTGTAACACAAATAAATCAAACCATCAACTTCTTCTAGAAGCCACTGTAAGGAATATTTTTCCTTTACTGGTTTAAGTAAACACCAAAACAGACAACTGTCAGTGGGGGCCCCGAGGGTCACACAGTAAGTGCCACAGGGCTGCATGTAGCCCAAGGCAATAGGGCTTTAGATGATAGTTTCATACAACAAACCAATGTCTTTGGGGCAGCACATGGCAGTCTCAGGAAAGTGTCTTCAAAGAATAAAAAGTAAGGCTACAAACACCTCCTGAACTTTGCCTCTGTGCAGGAGTTTCCTGTAATAAAGACTGGTCACTGCTGCTCTCTCTCCTTGTGAAGGATGCTTGATCTTGTATCCGCCCCTCCTGTAGTTTTCTACTAGCAGCCTGCAGTGGGTGGAGCTGCTGGGTCCCTCCCACAGCACTGCTTTCTCAACAGACTATGCACAGCACAGAGATGATGTCAACACTATTTTTACAAAGCAATATTTAGATTTGGAAAGGCATGTGGTGCACACAAAGTGGATTTATATTCTACTAGGATATATTTAAATGAAAGTATTGGTGCTTGGAGTTCAGCTTTAAGATTCCTACAGCCATTAAAGAACGTTTGCCACATTTGGCCATTTATGGTTTGATTGGGGAATGTTTATGTTTGTACGCCATAGCATTCCATAGCAGATATCCCCTGCCCAAGCTTACATGAGAAAAGTTGACCAGTTGGGCTGGATTCTTCAATAACATGAGAAAAGTTGACCGGTTGGGCTGGATTCTTCACTAACATGAGAATAGTTGACCGGTTGGGCTGGATTCTTCACTAACATGAGAAAAGTTGAACAGTTGGGCTGGATTCTTCACTAATTGTTTTTCTTTACTTTTCCTCTGCCTCAATCATTCAGTTTAAAGATTGTTTAGTGGCCTGATGGTGACGCACAGCCAGCTGCCATCTAATGTCTGCTGGCTAGAGGCTTGTCTCAATCTGCTTTACTTCAGTGTAATTGAGACATTGGTAAATCGCTATTCAGCAGATTTAGAGGAACAATAGCACCCAGAATATCCTGCAAACCACTAACACAAACAACTGACAAGCTAACCTATGATACGTTGGAGAATCACTATACTTATTGTATTGGTCTTTGGCTCTTTCAATGTACGCCTTTCTAAAGGATTAAAGTAATCTTTTACATTCTACCTGTAGTTTCTTTTAATCCCCTTTAATATCGCCTGAGAATTCAAGATACTGTTTTCACATTCTGCAGCATACTTACTATACTGTATTCTTATAGTAACTGAATGTATGTACAGTTTATTTCCACTTGTGAGCAAATGGAGCAATTTACCAAGAGAAGAACCTCACTGGTCATCAGAAAACACTTGACCTTGCTTTGTTTGTTATCCTATCATTAGAAAAACATGTAGATACTGTAGCTATTGCTGACCTTCAGAAAATGCTTCCTCATTTGCCATCAATATGTCGTATCTATTTTAAGGCAGACGGCTCAATGTATCTGCACACACCTCTGCTACTTGTTAATATTGACCCTAGAAGTCATGAAATGTAACTTCCTTTATGTTGCAACTGCCTAGTTAGAAATAAACTGATGAACTTCCTGTTTCCCCTTTCACTGTATTTTGAAGCACACATAAGAGGTCTTCAGCTGCCTTTTGCAAACCTGGATCTCCTATATGTTAATATACTATAGGACAGTGTCAGTACAGCTATTATCCATCACAGCTGATGCTCCTACCCAGTGCCAGAGGCTGCCAATCAATTGGGTAATGGGAGCCTCCAGCAATGCATGGGAACCCTGTACACACTCCTGATGTATTCTCTTTATTACCTAACTATAGTGAAAATAATTGCAAGATTAATATGAATCAAAGGCTTCATTGTCTAACAGAAAGTCCCCTTTCAGAGCTGTCCTTTATAATAACTTGGCTTGGTTTCTACTAGTTAGCTATCCAATAAATTCATCAATGTAATAACTTAATTATATTATTTTTATATAACACTGTATACTATTCTTTGCTCTATTGTAAATTGGTACAGCCCTTTTTAAAGTGACATTAAAGTCAAAAATGTTTTTCCCTCCCCCCAATGTTAATGTCAGCACTTACCTTAAATTATGTTTCTTAATCCGATCTTCTTCTTTCTTGTCCTTTTCATCTGTCCCTCCAGCGCAGCGGCGGGTCTCCGATCCAGCTCTGACTCCTTTGGGCTTGCTGGCACTTCCTGTCCCACAGTGTCTGCATGTGGGTGCATGCGTCCATAGACTTCCCTTGTGTCTCTCCTCTCTTCCCGGTCACAAATGGGATCTGCGCATTGCGCCCGCTCCATGATGCTTTGCGGCCGCCGGGTAAGTATTTACCCCTTTCAAAGAGGGGTTTTTTTTTGTGCTTTTTTTAAACTCTTTGCATATATCTACTGCTTGCTAGCAGTAGATATATGCAAAAAAACGTAGGCTTTAATTATCCTTTAAGTTAGCTGAAATATCACACCATGCACATAGTCAGTGAAACATTTCTGATAACTGGCTGCGTGCTGGAATAGAATGCACTCACTCTCCTGCATACAGAACCTTATCACTGTGCTCAGACTGCATTTTGATGAGGTTTCAGTGCACACATGTAAAAAAAAAAGCCTAAAAGGTTGTATACCTGCCACCATAATTTAATATTTCTTAATATTTTTTCAAGATTTACAAATAGAGTACTTATGTCTAATATTTATGTTTCGTTTTCAGAATTAGATAATGCGCCTTTTGGGCTTTATTCTTGTCTCTCTGGCTGGTAGTTTCAGACACAGTGTAAGCCAGGGATGCCCATTAAGTAGATCGTGATCTACCAGTAGCTCTCAAAGCTGATTGATGCTGGTAGATCACGAAGGGTGTGAATGGCGGCCCCTTTATTCCATTTTGGTATATTTATTTAGCTGTGCACACATGATTACCTATTAGCCCGAGTCTGCTGAGCCAAGCTCCCTGACACCTTTCTGGTGGATACTGGTGGTTGAAGTGCTATGTATTACATCAAAGAATATTCGTTTACACAGCCTGTTGCACTACACTGTTTGCAAAATACAGCAAGGTGAGCCAGGAGAGAGAGCGGGGAGAGACAGACAGGAGAGAGAGGAAAGACAGCCAGGGGAGAGAGCAAGGAGAGACAGCCAAGAGAGGGAAGAGAGACAGCCAGGAGAGAAAACGAATGACAGCCAGGAGAGAGAGAGAGAGCGAGGAAAGACAGCCAGGAGAGGGAAGAGAGACAGCCAGGAGAGAGAGAGAGAGCGAGGAAAGACAGCCATGAGAGAGAGGAGAGACAGCCAGGAGAGGGAAGAGAGACAGCCAGGAGAGAAAATGAGGAATGACAGCCAGGAGAGAGAGAGTGAGGAAAGACAGCCAGGAGAGAGAGGAGAGACAGTCAGGAGGAAGAGCAAGGAGAGACAGCCAGGAGAGAGAGAGAGAGAGCGAGGGAGATTTTGTTTCGTTGGTAGATCTCATGTAGCTCGTCATTTGAAAAGTAGATCTTAACACAAAAATTGTGGGCACCCCTGGTGTAAGCATACTTCCCAGCTGTCTCTCATTTGGAGGGACTTTGCCTCATTTGCAACCAAATCTCTGTGACCCTCTTTCCTCCTATATTGTCCCTCTTTTTGGTCTGATGTAGAGATATCTATGAAATGTATTATTTAGCTACCAAAAGTGCACTAAAACCTTCATCCTTTCTCTTAATTATCTTGTTTGCTATTTCGAAAGGCCAGTATAAAGGAAACATAATGGTTAAAAAAAGACAATTTTAGGTTTACGCAATCATTGTTGGCATATAAATTCTCCATGGTCCATATAACTGAGGGTATGACAGGGTGTGTCCATTGACTAAATACAATGATGGGAATTTATCCAAATCTGGAGCAGACAGAATCTGGAGCAGTTGTCCATATAGGAACCAATCGGCTTCTATCTTTCATTTTCAAAGCTTAACTGAACACACTTAAGAGAGAAGCCGACTGGTTACTCTGGGCAACTGCTGTAGATTCTGTCTCCTCCAGTTGGGACAAATTCCCCCCATTGTGCTGGAAAGTGTTCCTTTTTATCATCTCAAAAAGTTGGGAGGAATGATATAAGCACCATTCACCTTCCTTCCTTCCTTCCTTCTTTCCAAAACACTAGGACAGTCAATACATAATTAAGCACTTACCTTGATCATCTGTTTGGCATCCTTTACGGTTTGTCCAGGCAGAATATCAAAAGATTCACAAAGACCTTCAAAAGCTATAAAGACCCTCATGATACTGTTAAGCAGATATTAGTAGCTGTTTGGTCATCAGCAGATCCACACTGTAACTTATGCCTTGGCCATCGTATGACTTGATCTGTATTGCTGTCACTGTCAAACACAAGTACGATTGGTGGAACAGGTACATTGCCGAGTCTAATTCTTCTGCCAAGCTGAACAAGAACAATCTCCACCCCACCTTAGAGAAACCGCAAACAAGACAAGTGACTACAGGTTGGTCACTATCTTAACCGACAACAGAGTAAGCACCTACACACACCATGCTGTATTTACCGCTTCACATTCAGTCAACAGACATTAATATTAATCTCACTGCTCAGTAATAAAGGAGTTTTAAGATACATAAAATGTTTGCATACTTTGTCTGACGTTTGCTAATAAACTCTAGGCAAACATGTATCAATGAATAATCCCTATGTTGTTATAACAACAAAATCACACTGCATTGTAAATAGCAGAGAAGGGATAACTAGTATATAATAAAGGACATGGTATAATGTATTGTATGAAATCAGACCCATGAGATGCAGAATTCAGGGTTCCCACATCCGGTGTGTAGTGGAAATATTGAAGGGGAAGTGCACTAACCACAGTCTTCATCTGAAATGACCACAAAACTTGGCCCAAAGTTAGTTTAGTCCAACACAAGCTGAAATAATGGCCATGGGGTCCCCACTCCTCCAATTTATAGAAGTTGGGAAATCATTTTAAATTATGTTCCCATGTATGTAAACTTAAAGTGATATCAAAGTCAACATTTTTTTAAGCTATTTCAAATGCTGATTAAATAAACATACGATGGATGCTGCTCCTTCATGTTTTAACATTATACGTTCTTGCAGAATCAGCTGGTCCCCTGAGCACTGGCCTGATATCCTGTTTAGAGTGGCTCCTCTCACTTGCAAGGGTCCTATGGTGCCACCCTAGTGTGTGCTAGTAATCTGTTTGTGTCTCCATAAACACAGTGGGAGTGCAAGGCAGCCACTCTCCAGATCCCTGATCCTCCTTCCTCCCTTCTCCAAGCTAGTAGATAGACAGCTGCTGGAGTCTGCTCTGTCCCTGATTTTGTACCGGACAGGAAATTCAGGGAAGCTGAGCTGAGAGAGTTTGAGACAGTTGTTTGGAAACCTGATGACTGTATGTGCTTGGGCAAAAATGTAAACAAATATTTTTCTGGGCAATGTAGTTTTGTCTGGATTCATTATTGAAAAAAGTTTGAGTGTTTAACCACTTGCCGTCTGCCCATTGTAAATACACGGATGGACGGCGACCTCTTCCCAGCGAGTAGACGTACATGTACATGATTTTTGTTCTGCGCGAGCAGAATCCCTCTGGTACCAGCTGTTACATACAGGCATTCAGCCGGCTCTACAGGTGGCCGATTGCTTGTATGACAACAAACAGGGTGCTCCCCCCCTCCAGTGCCACGCCCCGCCTCTAGCTTCTGCGCTCCCCTCTTCCATCACTGCTGCCAGTTATCCCGGGCTCTGCTGTCCCCCTGTGTACTCTGTAAATGGAAGAGAGATCAGCTTTCTCCCACTGCTGACCTCTCCTCCTCTTTCTCCAAAGGCGGAGGCGATGTGTATTACATCACTTCTGCCTTTAGCTGTCATTTCTTTGGCTGCTCTAACCAAAGAAGAAGCTGGTGAAGCAGATCTCTGTTTCATGAGCTTCTTTGGGGGTCCCAAGATGACATTAGAGGTCTTGGAGGTGCCTGATGTCTCCATAAAGAGCACCTGTCATTCTATATCTGCTACCACATAGGTGGCTTGTTAGCCCCCTATGTGATAGCAATCAAGTGTAAAAAAAAAAAGTTTACAAAAAAATGAAAGTCTTATATTGAAGAAAAAAAACACCACAAAATAATGTTAGTCCCCCGTGTACCCACACATATCAACGTAAATACGTGTCAGGTTTGCCTACGTGCGAAAATAACAATTACGCCACACATGTTACATATCGCCACGGACGTGGGAGTGTCAGCAATAATTCTCGGGCCATTAGCCACTGATGGTACTAAACTGATGAGCGGTAAAAGCTTTTACAGCGTCGCCTCTGGCCAATTTTAGGCATGGTCGTTTTTTGCAATTTCGCGGGCGCACTCAATTTTAAAGCTTGACATGTTTGTTGTCTATTTACCCGGCATGATCACTTGTTTGCCTGATGAAGGGGATCCTGTGAGACCACGAAACGTTGTATCTTGTGTTTTGCATTTGCAACTAGTACGTGAATAAATAAAGACGTACTGGATTTGCTTTGGATTGTCGGTGCCCATCTTTTACTATTTACCCGACATGACCCCATCTTTTATGTTTTACCAAGAAATTGGGTACTGATAAATGTTTTATAACATAAATAACATAATGTAGGGAAAACAGTTTAAAAAAAAAATACATTTTGTTATATAGTAAACAAAAAAAAAACCCCAGTGGTAATTAAATACCCGCATAAGAAAGCTCTATCTGTCCCCAAATAATAGTATAAAATGTATTTTCGTACAGCGTTGCATGGCAGAATAAATGTCAGTCAAAATACCTCAGTGAATACTGAAAAATGGCCTGGACACCCCGGTCAGCAAGTGGTTAGTTCTACTTGAATAGAATTCTCTCTACAGGGATAACTTTACATAACCGCGTTTGTTAGGCAAACTTCCAGAACTCAGAGCCTGTGTTACTCTATGGACACTGTGCATGCCGTGTTGTACAAAACATCAGTTTTCTAGTTGGATTCATTGTAACAATAGTGATAGTAAGTGGAGTGACAGCAGACCGCAGGGTAATCGTCAGATTAAGACTAAGTTCACATGAGTGGCAAAGGGGCAGTAAAAACAGGCCGTGGCTCCATCTTTTCCCACCCCCAAATTAGGGTTGCCACCTGTCCAGGATTCACCCGGACAGTCCGGGTTTTGAATGCTGTGTTCGGGTTTCATGGCATCAGAAACCCGGACACAAGATGTCAAGCAGACAGGGACAACCAAAATTAAGACTGGCCCCCCACTGAAAAACTGAAAACAGTCTCAACTGTGATATTTACATATGAATGGATGGCGCAATTTACATATGAATAAGCTACGACTTATTCTCCCAAAAAAATATCTGCGCGTCGCTTGAGTGTTCGGGTTTCGCTTGAAGAAAAGGTGGCAACCCTACCCCAAATGCCTATCTACAAATTAACATGGTGGCTGCCCAGGTCTGTATACATTGCCGTGCCCGCAATGTTCCGCTTTGTGCTGTGGCGAATTAAGCTTGGCATATCATTTGGCAGGTGGTGCTGCTTGCCAAATGTGCTGATTGAAGTAAATAGGACCACACAGATACCACATGCCAAACATCTAGCACACAGCTGCATTGCGGTATTTCAATGCATAAGCCCCCTTGGGAATAGGTTCTCCCGAGTACCTGCAAATTGCTGCTCAACCACCTCTGAAAAGCGATCCACCATGTATTGCTTTTCAGAGGGGTGGGGAAGTCCACCGTCTGTGTGAACGAGGCCTTACAGTGGACCTATCATGACCTATCATTATATATTTGTGTGCATGCATGCTAAGTAATGTGCAAATGTAACACATGCATATCTGTTAAAAATAAGTCACGGCAACTGGACTTGCTGTATTTTTCTTGAAGACATCTTCAAGAAAAATACAGCAAGTCCAGTTGCCTTGACTTATTTTTTTACAGATATACCATGGCCTGGATGAATGAGAACCTTCACAGACGTAACACATGCAGATATTCTGTCAGAGATCACAATGTTCCCCCTGACAATGTTTTTCTTTCTGCTTTTCTCATCAGGAGGATTAAACCATCTTGTTCTGGCATTATCAAGATGGCACAATAAGGTAAACCCTGGGGACCGTAATCCTTGACTGTGTTCACAAATATCTGACACAGATCAGTCCCTGTTATAGCCCTCCACTTAGTCAAACCCTGCAAAGTTGCAATGTAGCAGTCTGATTTGGATTGAGGAGACTGAGCTAATGCTTCCTTTTGCCTGCAGCAGACTGATGACATCATCTTTAATAAATAAATGTACAGCATTTTTACTGTATATTGTTGCATGTTAGGAATTTATTTCAATTTGTGAAAGCTGCTGAAAGATCCACTTCAATGATACCTTCCCCAGCATCACATACAGTCTGTACCTTATGTTTGCTTTACCAATGCACCACTTAACTGCTAGAAGCGAGGAAAGAAAGCTAGAGCTGCAGCTAACGATTATTTTCAAAATCGATTAGTTAGCCGATTATTAAGTTTGATTAATCGGTTAATCGGATAAAAATAAAATACATTTTTTAAAATGGCTCCAGTGATGGGACTACTAGTTTGTATTGAGATTGCGGTCGATCACAGGAGCAAGCTTGGAGCGGTAGAAGAAAAAAGAAAAAAAAGTGTGGTGTGCAAAATAGTGAAATGAAAAGTGTAAAATTTTACAGCAATGAATGCAGAACGGCACCGGCTATAGAGGACTACAAAACCCAGCAATAGTACATTATACAGCACAAGGCAGAATACCACCAGCTATAGAGGAATACAACAAATCCCAGCAATAGTACATTATAGCTGGCGGCAGAGGCGGCTCTTTAATTAGGCAGATTAGGCGGTCGCCTTAGGCCTCGCGCTCCCGAGGGCCTCGCGGCCGCCTAGTTTGCCCTGTCAGAACGGCCCATCACCTCGCTCGCAGCCAGGTAACGTTGTGAGCTCTCAGCCCTGTCGCTGTCAAACTGACAGGAGCGATAGCGACAGGGCTGAGAGCTCATCCGTTTCCTCGATCATCGGTGCGGTCCATCCACTGTCTTCTGGAGCTCCGCCCACCAGCCAATGAGAAGAGACCTCACTCCTCCCATCCACCGCACGAGGATCTCTGGCTGGGAGGGCGGAGCTTATCTTTAGCAGCAGATGGAGACGTCGGCGGCGCCGGCTGGTCCTGCACGCTCCTGCCAGCTCCCGCCTCCGAGCCACGGCCGCCACAGTGCTGGTAAGTGGCGGCCTGGA